TTAGAGCTGCTTCAATGAACAAACTACAAGAGAAATGTGACAGAAAGGAGCTTGGATCTTCTCTAAGAGAAAGTGGGCTCTGAGTATGAAGCCAAATTATCAAGCAGAGGAAATGATCAGGACTGATTCAAGTCACCAACTGTAAATGCTGAGGAGAGACAGGAAAGGCAAACAGATAAAATCAGCTAAGTTCCAGGGTCAAGCATCCATGCAGAAGTGAGAATTAGGAATTAGAATAAGCAACTACAGCTCAGAGAAAGCTTGCTAGCTTAGCAAAATTATGATAAGGTATGGAAAAATACTGAGATATTAAAATATTTACTGTTTCTGGGGGAGCCATCTGCTCCATATAACCCTAACATATTCAGCTACCTGGGAAACACCTAGTTCTCTCAGGTCTTCAACCCTAATAATAGTGACAATTAAAAAAAGAAGAAGAAAAACACAACACACATGACCAACTTATGTCAGCCATGAATGGTCAGGATAAAGAAGAGGCCACTGGCAGGCACTGAAAAACAGAACATAATATAAGAGATTTTTGAGAGCAAAGGATTGATCAAATAGAACCAAATACAGCAAAGCTATGAAAAAAATAAGAACAGAAGAAAAGTATTAACTTTGAAAAAGCAAAATCCACAATTACAAATATAAAAATGCATCCATATTCAGTTTTTAAAAAGGCAGGTTTTTGGCAAATTTTCTTTAAATGCATTTGAGAAGCAATATAGTTTAGGAGTTTTTGTTTTGTTTTGCGTGTTAAATTGCAATTCCCTTTCCTTTGTGGTCATCTGCCAGATCATATTATGATTGCCTGAATCCAATGACCTATTATAATAAAGCATAATGAAGAAAATAATTTCATAGTGTCAAAAACAGGACCAACATTACACAAACATTTTGCAAGAAAGTATTTTTCTCCACATAAATTTGGGTAGCTGTGATAGCCTTTATCCAACATTTTAGATTGTTCTTTGATGCTGTGGAACCAACAGATACATTATAAATTTCATAAAGTATTCATTAGAAATAACTCATGCTCTGCATTAATTCTCTTGTAGGAAGCAGTAATTAGTTTCAGTTGTGATTGTACTTTTTACATACCCTTTAGGAACCAGATCCTGTGCCTAGGTGCATCCTTCAGATAGTTCAAAGACTAATAGACCATTAAGCAGCAATATAAAAATTGAAGTGTGTTTAAATGCAAACTGAGTGACTGATGAATACTGAAAAGAAGGTAATGAAAGAAAGGTCAAGGGCAGATTATAGTTGTGATTTCATTCTTTTTAGGGCTACCTTTTTCATACAAAGACAGAGAGGTCTGCTAGAACAATAGTGGGGAAGAGCCTTGCAATGTAGGTTTTGGCAAAAATTTCTACAGACTGGTATCTCAAGGGCCAAGTGAAAGAAGATGTTTTGAAAGGAACCTAAAGCCTGGGTGATGTGGAGTAATTTGCCTTTATAGCCCGGGTGAATGGATACCTCCAATTGGTGATGTTCTTAATTCTGGTCCAGGGGGATCTTTTTTTGAGTCCTATCTCTTGGACCTTAAATAGCCGCACCCTTCCTAGCATCTTCCTTGACACTTTTCAAGACCTTTTCTGGTGTCTGGAAGAGACCAAGGCTGACAGTGCATCTGGGCAAGGCACCCCCTGAACCCATGTGAAAGTGGAAGCATAGAAATGTTTGGTTCCCCTTCAAACTCTGGGACAGCCAGGAGACAGTTCTAACTTATGGATATGCAGCCAGAGATGTCATTTGTGATGTCATTTCAACACATGAGCAATATAACAACATTACTAAGTAATATCTTACTCTTTGCACTCTATTTTCAAAATTTCGTGGTTAAATTACACTTGCAGCATAGAATTTAGACTAGCCACATTTGAACTGCCCAATAGTCATATGTGGTTAGTGAATAAAATTTTTGTTTTGTTTTTTTGTTTGGGGTACCAGGGATTGAACCCAGAGACACTTAGCCATATCTCCAGCACCCCCACCCTTTTTTTTTCTTTTTAATTTTGAGACAGGGTCTCACTAAGTTGCTTAAGGCCTCACTAAGTTGCCAAGGCAGACTTTGAACGCTTTACCCTCCTGGCCTCAGTCTCCTGAGCCTCTGGAATTAAAGGTATGCACCACTGCACCTCACTCAATGAATACTTTTTCTTGAAGTCCACATTGTCTTGTGGTTCCACTGATTCCTGAAAAGAATGAGCCGGACCCTCAACAGATTGAGATAATCAACTAAAAGACAGAGTTTAAAGCTGGATTCACTGAGGTTATCCTCACCGTCAGCTGGGCAGAAATGTGAAAAGACGAACCTGGGACTCATGGGGCAACTGGGTCAGTTCTAAGAAAAACTGTTCTTCTCACCCAGAAATGTATTAATTGGGAGTGAAAAAGTGCACTGGCTGGAGCTGACTGGGATTTTTGATCCTGCTTAAGGGTCCTGTCTTGCTTGTGATACTTAATATTATTTTACCTACCATAAATTTAAGCCCATTTGTACTCTGCATTTTCAAAAGACATAATGCCAAATATCTATTAAATCCTTTAAAAATTATGAGTTAGATTTCAGAGTCCTCAGAATTTCTAAGCTTTCCATGCTTTTTATTCTTATAGTTTTATTTATGATAAATAAATTCTAATATCTGGTTTTGACTCATAAAGTACTCCCAAGCGTTTTGTTTCTTCCAGAGCTTTCTTTGTTTTAAAATATTGGTTTTTTTTCCATTAAAATGTTGGCTTCTTGAAAAAATTTAAACCTCAATTTAAATGTTCTTTTATTGCTCAAATAAAAGCCTGATTCATCCAACCACCTGGTCATTGAAAATGTTTCATCATTTATTGAATAGATCTGTTTCATCAATCTCCAGTGAAACCATACAGACTGATCAAGAATTTTATAGCTTTTAAGTGAATCATTCACTTCTATTTCCATTAGCAGAGAGCATTATTATTGTCACTTACAGATTATGAATGATAACTTATGGATATTCAGTAAGGCAGGCATATACATATATATATATATTATATATAATATATATATATAATATATATATTATATATATATTATAATATATATATTATATATATATATAATATAAAATGGCAAAATTCACTCACTGTGCCTAATGGAAAATCTCAGACTTAAAAATGTCCCCTAAGAATATTTTAGTCAGCCGGTGGATGGCTTTCCTAATGATAGAAACAATGAAGATTTTTTTACAATAAATATTTATTCAAAATTAATTGCACATGTGCATAATGAGTAAAATAAGTTTTGATCCTCAAACTCTTTACTCCTGATTTTCTTTCTTTCCCCCCCACCCCGTACTAGGGATTCAACCCAGGGGCACTATGACACTAAGCAACATCCACAGTTCTTTTTATATTTTGAGACAAGGTCTTGCTCAGTTGCTGCTGAGGGTCTCACTCAGTTGCTAAGGCTAGCTTCAAACTTGCAATTCTCCTGCCTCAGCCTCCCAAGTCTCTGGGATTACAGACATGGGCCACCACACATGGCCATATTCTTGATTTAGATGGACAGCAATGAATGTGTTTCAATTAAAGGGACATTCTTATAATTATGCAATTATGTAATGGTATGAGATTAACTTGTTTATACCAATATTCCAAAATTAACAATATTCAGTGTTATAATTAAATTGTTAAAATGAATTATGAAAAATAGTAAAAAATAATTTTGCTCTTTTATTTTGATAAAGAGAAACTACACCTTGGTCAAATCCTGCCAATGTTAAATAAGAAAATGTTCACTAGAAGGAGAGGCAAGTGAATGTTGCCTTCCATAGTTCTTATTTACTGATATACTTGTGAAATTCTGGGGTTACTTTTTGTGAGAATTAGTATTAGCTTAAATCTTTCTAATGTTGAGCTTAACTATAATCTAAATTTATTCTACTTTAAAAATATATAAATATTTTAATTCACTTAAAAATAGCACTTTTATTTAGCTTGAATTTTTTTTCCTCACAGTATACTAAATACCAAAGAGAAAGTAGAGAACAATATTAAGTCCTCATTTTATAATTACAATATATAATCTATGAATCAATTATATGTGTAGAGGTTTGGAATGAAATAATTGCACTGTAATAATGTGTAGTTCTGTGTCTTGATACCCATAAAACTTTTTAACTTTTCATTTCTAGGCTGTATCTACATATTATATTATTCTGAAGCCAACAAATACTGACACTAATTCAAATAATTTCTTACATGCTTGATAGACATCATTCTGATTAGAGTCTTTTGAAGAAAGACTTCCATTTTTTTCCAGGTATTATAAAGTTTAAAAAATAATCCTCCCCAGAACACATAAAGTTCTTGAACTGAGGATTATAGTGAAACCAAAGAGCTGGCCAGCTAAATGGAAGTAAGTTCAAGGAGCAGTACATGAAGAACTTTTAAAATCAGCAAATGTTTCTCCATTCTCTCAATGCAGAATTTAAAACATACACCTAAGTTTCTTTTCAGTGCGCTACCATTTATCTTACTTATATATAGAGAGAGTAAGATAAATGATATATATAATATAAATATATAATATAAAAAAGATAAATGGTATATATATATATATATATATATATATATATATATCACAAATATTTAAATGTTGGAAAATAATTTCACATGCTACATAAATATTCACTCTTATTTTCCTTAAGAAATGCAGAAAAAATGACCTTGAAGTTTGGGGCCTATATATTCAATGTGTGCCAGTTTACAGGCCACATTTTTTAAATTTTCTTTATGTATTATTTTATAACTAAATGGAACACCAATAGGAACTTTTTTTTTCTTCTTTTGTCATATGTTTATGTATGTAATCATGTCATTTGATATTGTTGGGTTGAAAATACAAGGGATTTTTTTTTAAAGTGACAGTAAACAGTTACTAAAATTAAGTTTTAAAAATTTAATTTCAGAATGGAAACAATGTCTGTAACCTAATCAAAACACTTCTTTCTTCACAGGTGGCTTTATGGAAACTGAAGCTGCTGCTCAGGAATCTTTGGGCTTAGGCAAACTTGGAACTCAAGCTGAAAAGGATAGAAGACTGAAGAAAAAGTAGGTTTGGAGTTTGTTTTTTCCCTCTTTTTTCTAACTTTTATTTATTCTTTATCATTTTTTGTGGGGAATTAAGGAAAGAGTGATTAGAAGCAAAAACACTAAACAGGTCAATATTTTCCTAGTATTTCCTAAAACAACTCAATGCATATGTTTCCTGATTATAATGAGGTTCAGTTTAAAATACGTATTAGCTTGTAACAGACTAAACAGTTTCTTTTAAGTGAACAAAATTAAGGGACATTTAAAAATACATATAGCCTTAAAAATAAAGTAATATTCTATTTAATGTTAAGTTTAGTATTGAATTGTTATGAAAAAATGAGGGGATACTGCCTAACTCTGTGTTTCTTCTCCTGGCAATTAAAAGTATCTACTCTTTATAACACAGTATTTGAAAGAAGAACCATTTCTCTGACTTATTGAATATAAACTTATTTTAGACTCACAGCAGATTGTTTTGCATCTGTCAGGAAACTGATAGTGAATCTTTTCATTCACATATAATATGGAACATTTAATTGACTTGCAAAATTGGCAAATTTTGAGTCTCAGCAGCTGTGGGGAAGAAGTAAGTCCATAAATAACATATTTTAAGATATGTAGTAACATTTTCAGTGACAAAATAGCACCCTTAGAATATGTTCTTTAAAAGCAAAATAATTTGTCTTTATTTCAGAATCTTTTAGCCAGTTACTCCTTTTCACCTCTCTTTCAAATATTCATTAAATTATTTATGGTTTTCATGTTTTTCTTCTTTCCTATGAAAGAATACTCATTGTTCTAATCATGATTTTGCAACAGATAAGTTCCTATGATTATAGTACACAGGCTAATCAATTAACTTTTTTTTTTACTTTTTAATCTGCCTTGCAAATGTTTACTAATAATGGGAAACATGCTTGCAAGTTGCAAAACAGTTCACTAATTGTTTATAAGATTGCTAATCCCTAGAATTAGATAGATTCAATAGACATACTATCAAGAAAAATATGTTCTTAAGAACATTATTTCTTCATAACAAGTAGATGCTCAGTCATATTCAATGGCAAATATTTCTTTAGTTACTGATCACTCAAAAATATAACTAAATATTATCATAATATTATCATAATTTCATTAAGTACTATCAAGAAATTATATATTTAATTTTGTGATTATGTATGGAGAAAACATGGTTCTATAAAATATTATTTGATAGAATTTTTAAAAATTTTTAGTTAACTTACTTCAAGTCTAAAGGAATGTGAAAAATTAAAACCCACTCTGACTAGTGGCCATGGTATATTCCCTTAAATTAATTCTCATTGCTCCCACAAAAACGTATTTACAATCAATAGCAATCTGATCAGCTTTCCCATTTTTATATAAGATTTATAGTGGCATGTGTACTGCATAATTTATTGCTTGTTTTGGGGACCAAGTTAAATAACCCTTTCAACAGATACTGAAGTTAAACATTCCAGTTATATATTATTTATATATTAAAAGTAACTTACATAAATTATATTATAATTACTTAAAGTATTTAAGGTTAGTTATTAACTTCACATACTCTTGTATTGATTTGATAGTATTTTCATAGAATTATTTCTTAACTCCCAAGTTAGATCTTGATTTTGGTTCTGTACTTAATTGGAGAATTTACCACACTTGACTTTGTGTTTTATTTTTCAGTGTTTTGACCAAATACAATTGTGCAATGTATTAAATAGAATACTTGTCTTTAACATTAAGAAGAATATTAATAACATTCTATAAGACAATGATGGCTAACATTTCTTAGTAAAATTGTTTTCCTATAGAATAAGAGCATTTGAGTTAATGGTTCCAACAAGGCAAGGCAGAGTTAACTAAAGAAAATGCGAAAGTATTTCCCTTTTTATTGGCTTTTCCATAACAAGAAACCCTATGGGCATGAATATGCAACTAGTGTTCAGAGATAGAAATGAATAAGTGCTAACCCTTACTCAGGAATTTTCTGACTCAGTGTTTTTGTTTCTGGGTTATCAGAAAGTGTTGAGTCTTCATATAATGACAAGATAAATTACTTTTAAATTACCTGGTTTCAAATTTATTTCTATCAAATTTTTATATTTTTTAATTATTATTAGGTATTAGCAGCTTGTTCTCAAGTTCTCCTGTCTCAAATTTCATTTAAACCTTTCCAATTTTCCTTTTTTAAGCAACAACGTATCTTCTTTCATTTAGCTTAAAGGGATTGGATTATTTTCTATGTTCAAATTTCATACATGCAGGTCTTAAGATGGAAAAAGGTTTTGAGAATATTTTATTGAAAAAATAAACAAAAACAATAAATGGAGCACTATATGTTATACATGGACAGTTGTGATTATGTGTTTCCTATCAGTTGTTTTTGCATTCTGTCCGTTGGCCCTGCAGATGTTTCCAGTCCATAGTACTCAATTTAAACCTAGGTACACCATACGAAACTGCATAGCATATTCATTAGTCTCTGTGGCAATAAGCAGAGCTAGAGAGAGACTTACTTTCAAGTTTACTAGGATATCAGGTATACAGAATTGACCATCTGTGTCTTTAAAGAAATCTCTAGAGAAGTTATTTGTGGAATATTTTATAAATAAATTTTAAAATCATGAGGACGATACTTTCTGAGAGCAGCATTTAAGACATTCTAAATTCCTACAAAGTATAGAAATTTATAATGCTGGCAATCTCAAAGAAAGGTCTCATTTGAGGTTATATTTACCATGTGGCAAATTTAACACACCTGGGTTAGAACAGCTTACAAAACACATGTTAGTAGTTTCATTCTACTCTTACTTTCCTTCCTGGTTCAGGCATTAATTTTGCTTATATTTCCAGATATTGTTCCATGATAAGAAATAGCAAATCAACAATATTGGGTGTGCTGTAACACCCACAGTCAAGAAAACTTTGTCTCCTTTTCCCTTCCTGCATGTTGTCACGCGGGTGCTGTTCTTCTATCAGAGCGTCTGACCTCAGCCTGAAATCTGTCTTAATGAGTGCACTGTTTGGTGTGCCTTTACTATGTCTCACTTATGTTTTACTTTACTTTAAATCTTCAATTCCATACATTTCTCCAAGAAGGTAATATAGAGTACAGTTAATACCTACAATAACTGTCAAACAGAGACATGCCTAGTAATTCTTTGAATATTTCACATTAATATACTTGGTCTTTCTTTTTCAAATTTGACCTTTTTTTTTTTTCCTGTAGTCTCCTGGGTTTGGTGCTCTTAATCTTTAGGGGTGAGACAATTATTCTCAATATTTTGTCTGCCTGCTAATATTGGGATTCTACATAGCTTTCTCAATATGAGCTCTCCCTGGAGATGTCTTGACTATAAGATGTTATCCATCCATCATCTTCTGTTTTATTTCAGTGAACTCCAGGCACCTTTTCCTACTTAACAAAAATAAACATCTTCCCCATTTCAAGATGACACTAACAGCAACTAGACCTGAGAATTTCACCTCTTTGCCATCCTGATTTAAAAGAACTTATTTCTCTTTCTTAGCTCTCCAGCTTATCTTTCAATTTAAAATCTTAAATAACTTGCTCAGTATAGCTATCTAAAACCAACCAACCATGCAACTATGAAAAGCAACTCCACAGAATAACAGAAGTTAGTGCAAGACCAAAAATCTACCTGGGATGGACTTACAAAAATCTCAACTTCTGAATGAGGTTTAGCTTCCCCATAGTTGAGACTCTAGATTTGAGTATTTTAGGTCTCAATAACTAGAAACTTTCTTCTTTGCCTAAGTTCAAAGCATTTTTTCTTACTGAAAAATTTTAATGTCTTTCCAAATAAACCTCAATTTAAAAAATACAGCAGTCTGCAGACCTATTATTTATAAAATTTTTAAATTATGAATTCAAAATTATTAATTCCTTGTTAATTGAAAAAAATTATAATTACTATAAGGTAAAAAGATAGATCAAAACTTAGAGTCTTACAAAAAAGGAAAACGGAGTTTCAAAATTTATTTGTTGATTAAAAGAAGGAGCCAGACAATTAGAGGTTAAAAATGGCAGCCTGATTACCAACAATTCTGTCAGAATATGGTCTAGATTTATGCTAAATAGAAAAAAAATAAAAAGGAGGTAGTGAAACTTCCTAAAATAGAATATTGAATTTAAATAAACTTACCTGACACAGAAAAAGCTGGCAGTCACAGCCTTCCAAGATCTACAGATATAAACCCTACCTTACCTTAAAGATAACATTTCCAGTGTTATGATTTGATAAATGTTATTGTGGAAGCATGAGCTATTGGAATAAATGAAAATTAAACATTTTACCTGAAGTTTTTGAAGTATCAGTGTTAATTTTATTTTTTATTAATGTCTTATCAGATTTCTTACTCTCCTCTTACTTAAAATATATCTAGCTGACAGTTTCTCATATTACTCTCTTTAGAAATGTGATGATAGGGCGAGTGGCAAATTCCCTGAGTTGTTAGAAACCTGAAGATATATTTTATACCTAAAATTCATTGATAATTGTCAAAATATTAGAACAATTTTTCTAAAATAATTTTTCCTAAGAATTTTGAAGTTAATTCTTTTCTTTCTTCTAGTTACATCTAATGTCAGTTGTCATTCTTTAATATATAATATGTAGAATGGCTTTGTCTTCTTTTTTTCTCCCTGGAGTTTTTATGACTTTTTTGGTGGGGGATGGGAGACTTCATTTTTGGGATTCTGAAATGTTATAAATATGTGTCTATTAAAATTTTTATGTTTCAATTTTCCACTCCATATTTTCAATCTGAAGAGTTGTTAGACAGAAATATTTAACATTTATTGTCCTAAAGGATTCACATTTTGAGATTCAACTTTAATTCCAAGAAGCTTATTTTTATCTATAAAATAAGTTAGGATTAAATATGAGGATGTCTGTTTTAATAATAATATACTTTTCTAGCTCTCAAGATAATTCCTAATTGGCAGTAAACAAATTAAAACTGACAGAATATTCAATGAATAG